CATTGGGGGCTAATTTTGCATCCCAGCCGTTATCTGCATCACCATGTAAGCTTTTAATGACCCTGTGCCACAACCTTTCTTCCTCACAAGGGAATCTCCATAGCCATTTCCCTAGGAGGGCCTTGTTTCTCTTTATTAGGTTCCCTATACCTAATCCACCCTGGTTATTTGTCCATGTGTATTTCCCCCAAACAGAGGTAGGTCAACCAGCTCCCATCTCCTAATGAACTCTGCAAAACCCATCATTCCCCTCTTATTCTCCCTGTGACCTTTCTTCTCATAAGAAACTTTGATTGTATTAAAATCCCCCCCTATGACCCAAGGAAGACTCCATTTTCTCCTTGTCTCATCTAGTTCCTCCCAAAACAAACTTCTCAACCCCTCTTCATTTGGACCATATACCACAGTTAAAATCCATTCCCAATCTCTGTTCTGTGCCTGGAGGCATAAAGAGATCGAGAACTGCCCTACGAATTTGTCCTTCACTGAAACCACCTCAGTGTCCCACACCACCAGAATCCCCCCGAAGCTCCTTGAGCAGGAAGGGTTACCCAATCACAGCTGCGGTCCCCCCAAATGCTTCTCACCACTGCCTGATTCAATTTTTCCATCCTTGTTTCCTGCAGACACAATATACCCGGATTCCATTTTTTCAAAAAAGCATTAGCCACCACCCTCCTATGACCAGAATTCATACCCCTTATATTCCATAACACTATCTTTAGCAACTCAATCTGTACACTAAAACTCTAAGGCTGATATGTACAAAATAAACCTCCCAAAAACTCTTCCAACCTTTCACCACCCCTTTCCCGATTTCTGACTTCTACTTGCACTTCCGGCCTTCTCATTTAGACCCCAAGCCAATCTGAACAGTTCTTTCTCTGTTCTTCTCCCTCTTTTCCCTTTCTCTTCTAGAACTTTTCCTTCAATTTCTTCTAGGTACTTCTTTGTCATTCCTTCCATCCCCTTCATTGACACCCCTAGAAAGTCTACAATGCATAGGAGCTTTGGCAACACCCAACTTGAAACTTCCACTCCCTCTTCTAACACCCGTTGAGGTACCCTCTGTTCACTATCAAACCAATATGCCCTCTCATCCGCCAAGACTACTGCAAGTGGTTGTACATCTTCATCAGCCATCTCGTTGTGGAGAGAGTTAGCAATTTACCATTTGTGGAGAGAATGATTTTTAATCAATTATTCTCTCTTTAATTATTGACTAGATTTCCATCTTTAGGACTTGAGATGGGTTCTAGTTGGATTAGTTCCATAACTCAATAAGATTGTAATTCAAATTTGAATTTGAATTTAAGTTTGACTTCAAAGTGGGTCCCTGATGGACCCTTCCACCATGCTAATGGATTTGTAATAGGAAAGCAGAAATGTTAGGCCCATGTACATATTTGAGAGTATGGGGTATGGTCCAAATTGAATGACCCATACTGAGGCCTTTGAGCAAATTTGAGTTTATGGGGGTAGGGCCCATTTAGGAGCCCATGAAAAATTTAATGCCTACACTAAGTTTGCCCCCTTAGAGGAATTTTGAAACAATTTCTGGTGCTCAAGAAGAAGATAATTGTTAGGAGAAGGGGAGATACAAGCAAGGTTCGAGATTTTGTCATGTATCGGCACGTATTGGCCAATATGTATCATATCGGTGACCCACTGATACACAAAATATATGAACTTTGGCGTATCAGGGGGTAGAAAAGCCTTAAATCGACCCCTCTGGACAGGTTTTGAAAAAAAAAATAAAAAAAGGTGGTGTATGGGTTCAGAACACCCAATACGCCCATCCACCATATCGATGTGTATCAATACATAGAACCTTGGGTACATGGGGATGAGGGTGAAATAGAGGAAGAGTTTGCAAAAGGGGGAAGAGAAAGATGAGGAAGTGATTTGATCAAGGAAAATAGAAGGAATTATGGATTTGGAAAAAAAATAGTCGAAACTGAAGTCCAAGTAAGCAAGATATTAGGATTAACTTTTTTTTTAAGGGGGTGAGATGTTGCAAGAAGATTGTTTTGGGAATAGGAAGAGAAATATCCTTTGAACATTGGCATATCAGGGAGAAGAGAAAGATGACGAGGTGATCTTTGATCAAGGGGAAACCTGATTGGTGAAAGTTGGTAGGGTTGCTGGGGGGGCGGATGGCTGGGCTATTCAAAAAGGTCAGCATGGAACAATAAAGAACAAATACGTTGTATGTTTTCAATTCTTTCCACTAGTGAATTATTCAGCCCATCCAGTTAAAGTGCCAACAAACCTGCTTTACAATACTAGATCTCCGGTCAGATAGTTGTGTGCTCAGAGGAGCAACAAGTTGCTTCAAGAGAGCAGGAAAACATGGATAATCAGCAGCACCTGGTAGAACATTAAAATAATAAAAAAATAAGTAACACTATTTTCTAACATAAAAACATTATTAACCTTGAGACCATCTGCAAAATTTATACCATATTCTAACATGGAAGAAAAAACATTGAATTTCCCATTTCAATTGCCAAAACAGTTCAAAAGATGATAAACGATGCACAATAGTCAACAGCAAAAGAAAGGTTAATAGCATTTCTTCCGGCCATGAATGCCCATGATTTATTGGTACTTTATCATCAATCCATAGACTAAACTTTTGTTTCTCTTTTTATCTTCATCAATATCCATAGACTAAAATTCATACATCGAACTATTTGGTGGCTCACAACATAACAAGTTTTTTTTCCCTTTTTGATCAGTACAACATAGCATAATACACCAAGTTTTCCTCCAATCATACATAATACAATACCAATGCCAAACAACCAAATAGGGAATCTCAAGTGAAGATTTACTCATTTACTATTTTAGACAGCATAACAAAAAAAAAAACACTTAAAAATATATTTAGTACTTGCAACAAATATAAAAATAGACAACACGATTCAAAGTTTTACAAGCATTCTGAGTTTATTTACACTTTCCAATGAATAATATTCACCCTCCTGATCTACCTCTGAATTTTTTTTTTATCAATAACAGTAAATTTTATTAATAATTGAAAACTTAGGAAGTTACATAGAAAAGAAGCTAAAGAATATTAACTCCCTACTATACCAATGTACACCCAAACCATGAAAAACTTACAACACAGCCCAAAAGAGAGTTTTTGTTCACCTCTTGTCTAGCTAGCCCATCTGCCAAGGAATTTGCATTTCTTTTTATCCATGTGCAATGARCTTCGATGTCCTTAGTCAGCCACTTAAACTTCCTCTTTTCATTGTTGTAAATCCAGAGCTTAGAGCTATCCTCTTTTAGCCAATTCACCACAATTTCAGAATCACCTTCTATGATCAGTTTCTTAATATGCATGTCCT